CCAGAAAGCATTGACCTCTGCGATGGGAGTTAACAGTTGAGCCGTGTAATACTTTGTCAGGAGCATGAAGTTTTATGGTAATTAAACAAAAGCAGGCAAGAGACACAAAACATTTCCCTCGAGCGAGGTGGGTTGGTTTCGGTTCGGGTAGCAGATGATGGAAAAGCACCATGGGAACGGCCCGCGGGACACGCAATGGTCCTTCATCCAGGAGCGAGATGGGGGGTTCTGGACAAGGCGCTATATGTTGGGGTTGGAACTAGGTGATCTTTAAGGTCCCTTCCAACCCAAACTATTTTATGATTCTATGTCTCTGCGGTGTCTGTTTAAAGTTTGCTCTACAGTCGCAAGTAATTTTATTTAAAGATACCCTAGAGTTGAAAGAAATACCCACAGAAAAGCATAACAAGGGGATTAAAATATCTAACTATTTAGTGATCATAATAAAAAGAGTGATTATAATAAAAAGAGACGCTGAAAAACTTGCTGTCCTGTGGAGGACTGTAGCAACAGGAGCAAAAATGCCCCAGGCCATGCTCACCGAATGGTGGAGGATGCTGCCGGCCAAATAGGAGCCAGATTTTATCCCACCCAACCCCAGCGTTGGCACGGAGGCACAGCATCCGTATTTCCCAGGGTCGGCAGTGCTGCCAGAATGACGAGATAAAGCAAATAAGTTTAACAAGCAAAGGAATCTTTTTAGCTCCATTATCAACGTGATAGGCCCTTATTTCTCCTCCCCGTTTAAAAATCGGCCGTACGACTCACCGAGATCCCTGGCCCTGGTTTCAATTACGCGGAGACTGAATCGAACCAGACTGCTGTGCCGTAAATACGAGGGGGGCCCTCTCTGTAAATCGTAAAATTGAATTCTAAAATTTCATGTTAAGAGCCTCGTCTTTGCCTAATGGATTGCACTGCCATCTATCATGGTGACACTTACAAGTCGCAGCTGAAAAAGTACTTTACGAGATTTATTTATTTATTTTCCTGAACAATTTTGATTCATTCTGGTTACGCTGTCTGTATAACAGACCGAGCGGAATCTCACGCCGATCCCTACGCTCGATAAAACATCTATGGATACGTTACCAAAATCCCTCACTGTTTCTAAGTCACGGCCAAACGGTGTCTCAGGGACCGCTCCCAGTCATCTGTGTCTTTTAAACCCGAATCAAGCATCGGGGCTCTTAACGACCTTCGTCTCATCATTTCTCGCCTGGTGTTGTTTCGAGTCGTTGGCCCATTTTCATCGTGGCTCTGATCAATAGCTGTGATGACAAAGATATGATGAGCTGCGTGATTCCCTCCGGTCACCGCTGCTTAATGATTTTTCCAAGCACCAGTCTTCAGTTGAAAGGGAAAAAAATAAAATATAATAAAGAACTCGGAGGAAACAAACATTGCAGCATTTCTCTCCATGCCGAATTAGTCTTGCTCCTCTCTCCTTGGGATGAGCATGCAGGATGTTTCTCAGCTGCAAAGTCCTCATGGCACTGGCTCATGTCTGGATGTCACAGCAAGTTGGTCCCATCACTGTTGTTCCTTCATATGGAGCAACATACGGTGCTGGTTTTGGTACCAGCACCAGCTATTGAGGGCTTGAGCTGTTGGTCTTTACCCACTGCTCAAACTGGAAGCTGCAGTCCCACTCCAGACTGCTGGACATTCTCCTCCAAGCTGTGAGCCTCAGCCACAATCATTCCCACCACCCTTTGGAATGGAGACAAGCCCAGGAGGTCAAAGTAATTTAAGGTACAACTTTGCATTTTGAAGGGAAACCCTTTTTGGTGGAGGAGTGAGTCTTCTTTTTAAGAGTCAAGAAAATAGTGACTTCTCAAAGTCAAGTCATAAAAGCATACGAGGCCACAGTGACATTTTCCCTTGGTGATGGTCTAGCACATAACCGGCCTTGAGCATCTAGAGCAATGGGATATTGAGGTTAGTGCCATGGGATTTGCACCCAGGACTTCCCAGCATTAGAGAAGTAAGAATCTGCTACCTCACTGCACAGCAAGAAGGTTGGGTAGCCATGGAAGGTTAAACGAAGCAACACAAGAGCTGAGAAGGGGCGATGGGGACATCAGTTGAGCGGAAATGCTTGTGGATAGCGGGTGAAGTCCCTCAAGGAGGGCACGGCTCTTTGTGTTCACAGTCCATTCCTACAACTTCCATAGGAACGCACGTGAGATCCTGTAGAAAAAGCATTTTTCACTAGCAAAGGGGGAAATTTAGGACTTCAGGACTGAAGAAAATGTTTGTTTCTTGTTTTGCCATCTAGTTCACAGAGGCTGAGGAATGTACCAGCTGTCTTTGGACAGGTTTGTCCCCAACACTAGACAGTCATCCCTATAAATTGTTTGGCTTTGATAAAGAGAGGAGCAACATATACATATATATACTTTTACATATATATTTTTTTTTTCCCTTTTTTGACATAATGTCCATAGTTCCTGTGCCAGGTGCAGGTCCAGGAGAAGACCTCCATGGACCCAGCAGGCAGACGGGTGCTGTCGCATGCCACCTCTGCTTGAGGACGCTGAGAAATGCAACCTGAGTTGCCTTTGCCACGGCGCAGAGCGGGACAGCTCCCAGGTCTGGGCATGCCGTACGTGTGTGGCAGGACTGTAAGACTCTTGAAAAACAGGTGAACTCCTCAAAGTCATTAGCTCGTGTAATAACCTGAAGAGTCTGTGTAAGGCTGTTGAGGTGCCATCTCAGGCTGGCAGGGTTCCAGTAGGAATATTTCACACTCGAATCCCTTTCCTTGGCTGCATGGAAAGGTGGCCCATTTACTCTTGCACTACTCCTCTTAGCATTGTAACACATGGATGGGGATGGGTATAGAAGCACCAGTTCTCTTCAGAGCCACTCGGAGGGGAGCAGTGTAACTGGGATGCACACCGAGCTCTTTCTGCACTGCAGGTTTTCGTCGGAGGTTTATGCCTTTCAACCCAGCTTCCCACAGGTCTTTCTTGCTCTGTGCGTGCTGTTTTAGACACTCAAAGTCACAAGGTTGAGGTCCTGGGAGGGATTTGTCCTTGGTGTGACTCGGGGAGAGGGAAGCAGGGAGCTGGGTAGCCCTGGGAAGAGGGTGCTGCCTCCTTTGAGTAGATGGCAACTGCTGGTTTGGCTCACACTGTCCCTAATCCCCACCAGCGCATCCTCAGGGCAACTGAGGCTTGCCAAGAGTTTGATACCAGCAACACAGGCGGTCATGCCACGGCCTTTTAACCATCCCTGGTGGGAAGCTGCCTGAAGCAACTACTCCTTTGCCAAAGCCTAGAGCTGGCCTGGACAAGGCATCTCCTCCCAGCTGGCTCTGCCGGAGCTGGATACCCTTTCTAGCCCAGCTGCCTGTGATTAATTCCTGCCAAAGTAATAGAGGTTGTGTGCTGCAAGGGGTGGGTCAAAGTATGGCACTGCATTACAGCACCAGCAACATCACCCTTGCTGCCTGCAGGAGGGACCACCAGAAAATCAGGACCATACTGGCGAGCGGCCCCAACGCGGGTCAGCCCTGGGGCTCTGCAGCTGCCAAAACTCTGGCCAAAGCCAGAGCTGCTCCCAAGCCAAAGGTATTAGGGATTGAGAATTGGAGGAGGTACAGTCTGTTGGGGGAACTTCCATCCCATCACCTTCCTCCTGGCAAGCACCCAGGAACAGGCAGGCAAGGCAACTGGAGCTGGCAGCTGACATCTACGGGGAAACCACGATAGCACTGGGGCTGCCAACATTCTGCTGCTGAGGAGCATGTGCCCAAAAGACACCCCTGCTTTATCCTGGGGACTGGAACCTGCCGAGAAGTATCAGGCTGTGTTGGAGGATGTCAGTGGTGGTGGCACGAGTGCAGAAGAGCTGGCTCTGAGGACACGGGTGCATTGTAGGGCTCCGAGTAAGGAAACAGCCTTGGCATGGACTTGCACGTCTCAGGTTATCTCTCTGCAGGAAGTAAAAATGAAAGTGGATGGAATAAAACAAAAAAAAAATCAGGACAGATGTTCCCAGAGAGACACGGTGAGAGCTCCTAGAGTCAGGATACGTGCAGATGTCAGTGTGACAGAGATGTCTATTTGGGACCAGGGTTGGCCATCTCCAGCCGGAGCTCCAGCGAGCGGTGGGGGAACGGCCCTTGCTACCACAGGACTGTCTCAGGCAGGGAAGAGGATGCTAAGCTCATCTCCTTGTTCCCTTGAATTTCAAGGACTCTTGCAAACAGCAGAGCACAGAGGTCATGTGAATACAAATTACATTAGCATGCCGAGTAACTTTGTCAGCAGTTTCTTATTAAAGCACTTGGTCCCCTCTGTAGTGGGCATTTCAGCCTCCCCCTTCTTCACTGCTAACAGTCAACTGGGCTCTCCGTTTAATTTGAGCTCGTGTAAGAAACAGTGAGAGGGTTGATTCCATTATTCTCCTCCTTGTCCCACCCCGCACAAGCTGTTGCTACTTATTAAACGTTTTAAAATCCCTGCTGCCAAAGTCCCCGGGAGACATTTATCTGCCATAGTCATAAACGACTTGCCAGCATGCTACTCCAAACTGCATTTCCCAGCCAATAAATACAAGCTCCAGAACCAGGAAAAACAGGGTTTGGCTTGCTGTGATTTTCAGTGGTATGTCACTGGGATACTATAACTACTTTTAAATTCAAATCAGCTTCCTAAAAATTAACTGGTTTTATCAGATACAGCACAGTGGACTGTTAAACACGTAGCCTCGTGTACTGAAACACTATACATTTAATGAAGTTATGCCATTAGCAAATGTACAACATGGGTGCATTAAATCCACCTATAGAACAGCTCTACATATGAGAGAGAGGATTTATTTTAGCTTTTCTCAATAGAGCAGGAGTCCCTTTCTTGGCTTTTGCTATTTTTTTTTTTTTTTAAACTAAAACCAGGATTTGCGCACACACAAAAAAACCCAAAAAGTATCTACTCTCATAATGAAAAAAAGACTGATTTTTTTTCTTTTTTTATTCCAGTTCAGGAAGGAAGAGAATCATCTTGCAAGTTAATATAATCAGCTCCTTTGCCTCTAGAATCTACTTCTGCTCAACAGGAGCCCCCCAAAAAAACACTTTATGTCCCAAGTGAAACGTGAAAACTACTTGTAAGGTCTCTTTTGAGGCACGTGATTCGGACGGTCGCTTTCGGAGTATCGGAATCAGCGTCGTCTTCCATTCCTTTCTTCTTGGGAAGCGCTCTCCGGCATGCCGCGGGCTCCCCATGTTTCGGGTGGAAGGCTATCTGTCCCTGCCCCAAATCAGAACGGGTTAGGATGACACAAGTTAGCACAGACACCCATTTTGCACTTCACACCTAAGGACGTACGTTGACGATTCCCCACTTCAAATTCCTCACAAAGGCGGGGGGGAAAAAAAAAGAGGACAAGAGACAGTAAATTTCACTGTGATCACACTACGGTAAAATATACCTTCTGTTCATTGCAAAAAACGCGTGAAGGCCAAATGAAAGAGGGGAAAAAAAAAAGTATGTTGCATGAGTTACAGTGCAACCATATTACTCCTTCTCTTTCTGTTTTCCTCCCCCCCTGCCTTGCTCAGTTTAGAAAAAGGATCGAGTACAACACAGTCAGGTAAGTGGCCACAAAAGAGTAGCTGTCTTTGGCAAGAAGTCACCGCATCGCCCCTCTCTGTCACCTTCTGCCCATTTCGCTCTGTCTCATGAAGTGGATGTTGTTGGCGCTGTCTGAGAGTTCGGGGTACTGCTCCACTGAGATCACAAAATAGCCGTCGTAGCCCTGTACCCGGCCCGTATTTAGCACTTGTTGCTTCTCCCCTTCTGTCCATGAGCGAATACCCTCCTCCCCATCCCGCAGTCTCTGCTGTTCCCGGGACCAAGCTTGGGCGACAGCGCGCTGTCGGGCCAGCTCCAGGACACGGGCCTTCTCCTCGTCCAAGGTGGTCCCGTAGCGAGTGTTTAGACACAGCGCGCCGTACTGGAGCTGGATGTCCGTGTAACGTCTAGTCCTTCCACTCAGCACTGTGTTGATCTGGGACACCGTCACGTTCACGCCGTTCTCCAGGGTCCTCCGCCCACCGCTGAGGCCCAAGATGGACAGGTCACCCTCTGATGGCCCTTGCTTAATGAAGTAGTGCGTGTCCACCCCGTCGATGGTGAAGTGCAAGTTCTCCAGGTAATGGGCGTTGTTCAGGATGGCTGCGATCCTCCGTCCATCCTCATTGGCCACACTGATAATGTCGGTGGCCACACGCCCATCCTTCATGGCGAACTTGACGCCTTTGCCAAAGATAGAGCCTCCAGAGGCAAAGTTTTTGTTCTTCTTGACCTGTTGGCACCCGGCGATGCTGGAGCTGTAGATCCGTTCGAAGCGCTCAAGAGTGACAAAGGCCTTCAGCTGCTTCTGCACTTCACATTGGACCCCCAAAATTGACTGAGCAGGGAGAGAAAGAAGAGAAAGACATATTAGAAAGAGAAGCCTGATGCCCAAAGGTATTATTAGCATGCTGGAGACCAGGAGAATATCCTGGAAACATCTAAAGAGGAGCTCCATTTTAATTCTCCCCTTATCACCTTTTTTCAGATTTTTAATTCTTTTTAATGGAAGAGACATGTTGTCAGGTTATTTCTCCTAATACTCACTTGTTCAATAAACCAAACTGTATTTAATCTCATAGACTGAAAGATGTAGAGGTAGAAAAGGATTTTTTAGCTCAGTGGCATGAGGGTCTAGTTTGGACATGCAATTATTTTGTGCTTCAGTGTTCTTCATCTGCACGTAAGAAATTGTGCATCTCGTGGCCATGACGGAAGAGTGAAAGTATTCGTAAAAGTTCTGTTTTAACTTCACTTTGTAGGTCCTTGTGCTACCTTCAGAAGCCCTGCATCACACATATGACCCTCAAAGTGGCCATAACTCCTCTATATTCCATTTCAACCTGGCTGAAGCACGTTGTTTGAAACTCAAGGAAGGCCCTAAATCCAACTCCTGTTTCCTGCAAACCCTCTATGGTGTGCCAGGCTCCCTGAGCTAAGACCAGCCCCACCTGATGCTCAAGATTTGGTTTATACTGAAGCAAAACTGCTGAGAGACAACAGCGTGGATCATTTGCAGTCAGGTACGATACAAAGTCACTTTTGCTGTTAGCGTATAATGGAGCAGGCACACGGCGAGTCAGCAGCTCATCATTACTGCAAAATGTCTTTGGAAATGCTCCCATCAATTCATGGAAGTGCAGACTTCTTACAGACCCCCGTTCACGAACCATTATTTGCTCAAATTTCACAAAAGCAAGAGAACGCTACAACGAAACTTTCCTGGCACTGCCAACGGCTCAGTTCAATAATGTAATGACAGTCGAGATTAAAAATAGGCTACAAAGAAAAGTTGGCTGCACTGCAATTATTTTGAGGAAATTTAACATCCACGAAGGATATTGCCTTAAACCGCCCGCAAGCTAAAGGTTCACATCCTTTTCTGGGTGCGAGAAGGCAATTCAGACGATGTCGGCATTTCAGCATGGACCTCTCAACTAAGACTTGTAACATGGTGAGGGAAGGGAAATATACCCTTATTTCCATGGTGGACATTTCCAGGGAAGGATGTCAAAGCATTAAAGAAATAAAATAAGGGATTTAGCATTGCAGCTCACTCAGAGGCTATGACCAGTTTTGATTATAGTGGAGAAAACTGTAAGGGAACAGAGGTAGACAAGTTTAAGAGCATGTTTTGGGTTGCAAAGGATTAAAATACTCAGGACTGACTTTTATTTAAAGTGCCAAGCAGGCTGGTGTAGCTCCTCCCTTTTCCCTTTTGATTAACAGCACAGTAGTTGGAGCAGGAACCAGTCACCTAGGAAAGAGGAGCTCTTTCTGGTTCTTCCCATACTGCCTGTGGGGGATCTCACACATAGCCTAGAGAGAGAGATAATTAACAGACCGATAGGGAGACAAATCCAGCTTCCTTCCCAACTGCACAAGTGCTCTAATTATGCAAAAAATGGATGCAATTAATGTAGATGTGTGATAATTTGATGTGTGGGGGGGTGTTCTGGTGGCAGGGGAGGGGATTTGCTCCCTGTGCCACCAGATCTGAGTCCCATCCCCCCCGGGGGAGGTTGAGCCAAATCGGCGCCTCTGCGAATTGCCCTATTTAAGTTGGGACAAAGGGGCGGGAAAGGGGCTTTTTGCGGAGGAGCGAGGAGAGAGCA